CGCTGCATCAAGCAGGTTCACTACACGCTGCCTGCCAGCCTCTCATTGTCTGCCCGGCAGCTCCTGGCCGCCATTCTTCGAGCCTCACCCCGAGACCGTCCCTCTATTGACCAAATCTTGCGCCATGACTTCTTTACCAAGGTCTGTGACTCTCCAGACACCTGAGTTCAGTCTGCATATTCCCAGGGGATTAAATGTGGGCAATTGAGAGGACCCCTGGGGCCTCTCTTCTATGTTGACATGGCTTCTCTCCACAGGGCTACACCCCTGACCGGCTTCCTGTCAGCAGTTGCATAACAGTCCCGGACTTGACACCCCCTAACCCAGCAAGGAGTCTGTTTGCCAAAGTTACCAAGAGCCTGTTTGGAAGGAAGAAGAAGAGTAAGTCTAGGGTGTCAGGGTGTTAAGTGACAGAGAGACTTGTGATATTCATTTTTGGGGCATGGAGGTATGGGTGCAGCTGAGTATGGTGGCTCATGCCTGAAATTCCAGCGACTCAGGAGGATCACAAGTTTGAGGCCAGCCTCAGCAACTTAGTGGACCCTGTATATCAAAATCAAAAATAAAAAGGGCTGGGGATGTAGTTTAGTGGTAAAGCACCCATGGGTTCAATTCATAGTACCAAAAGAAAGAAAGAGAGTGTGGATGCCTGTGAACTCCTGAGGAGAATGTGTGTTGTCCAGGTACTTGGGAAGGCCTATCATTGTGTCATCCCTGTGGACAATGGGATTGGGCAGAACACTGAAGACTATCCCCCCTACCTCCAGATAAAAACCATCCTGAGGAGCAGGACGAGGTCTCCTGTTTGGTGAAAGGCCTCATGCGCACGTCTATTGGCCATCCAGATGCCAGGCCCGAGGTGAGGTGCTCACGTGGGCATTGTTCCCCTGACTCACCCCACCTAGCAGTTGAAGGAAGCCCGGGATAAAAGGCTGATGAAGCATCCAGCCTCGTGGTGGCCTAATTGGCTGTGTCTCATTAGCAGGCTGGGGCTGACCCAGGGTGCCCTTGAAACCAGGGCAGGGCTAGGCCATGGACTTTCAAGGATTTCGATTTCAGGGCCTATCTCACTCCCTGTCCCTACCCAACTCTCTAGGCTCCAGCAACTTCTGGTCCAGCCCCTGTCAGCCTGGTAGAGACAGCTGCTGAAGACAGCTCACCCCGTGGGACGCTGGCAAGCAGTGGAGATGGTGAGGAACCAAGGAGTGTGAGACTTGCTAAAACTTGCTGAGGCAGAGACCAGGAACCAGAGGGAAGGAGTTGACAGAGGGACATGATCTGAGTCTAGGGAGGGCTAATGCCTAAAATCTCAGTGCTCTGTTCCTTTCAGGATTTGAAGAAGGTCTAACTGTGGCCACTGTGGTAGAGTCAGCCCTCTGTGCTCTGAGAAACTGTGTGGCCTTCATGCCCCCAGGTAAGGCTGGGGTCAGGTGTGTGTTAATATTGTTGGGAGTTCTTTGACTAGGAGGCTAGGAAGGAGCAGGTCCCTTATTTCCTTTTTTCCCTTGACAGCGGAACAGAACCCAGCCCCTCTGGCACAGCCAGAGCCTCTGGTGTGGGTCAGCAAGTGGGTTGATTACTCCAACAAATTTGGCTTTGGGTATCAACTGTCCAGCCGCCGGGTAGCAGTGCTTTTCAATGATGGCACACACATGGCCTTGTCAGCCAACAGGAAGTAAGTGCTGTGCTGGGGTGTCTTGTATCCAGGGTGTTGGACTCATCAGGGCTGCACTTTGGCATATGTTCCTAGGCTCAGGGGCCTAGGGTTTCTCGGCAGAAGGGTGTTAGTGCAGGGCTCCCTTTGACCTTGGCCTCCCCCCACTTCCAGGACTGTGCACTACAACCCCACCAGCACAAAGCACTTCTCTTTCTCTGTGGGTGCTGTACCTCGAGCTCTGCAACCTCAGCTGGGCATCCTACGATATTTTGCCTCCTACATGGAGCAGCACCTCATGAAGGTATGTGGGTAAGGGTCAAGCATACTGAATATTTACACATCCTCATTACTTCAAGTTCCCCTTTGGTAATGGGAGGAGGGGCTCAAAGCTAAAGGCTGAACCCAGTAAGAAAAGGAGACATTGATGGAGACATCTGATTCATGTCAGACCAGTGACCTACCCTGCTCCTGCTCTCAGGGTGGAGATCTGCCCAGTGTGGAAGAGGTGGAGGTGCCTGGCCCACCCTTGCTGCTGCAGTGGGTCAAGACTGATCAGGCCCTCCTCATGCTATTTAGTGATGGCACTGTCCAGGTAAGAGCCCACCCTGGAGTTGGAGGGAAGGTCTGGGAGGCCTAGGATGTTGGGAAGAATATTGGGCCTGGAGCCTTGGCCCTGGCCCTGATCAATAACCTTCTCCTTGTATACAGGTGAACTTCTATGGGGACCACACCAAGCTGATCCTCAGCGGCTGGGAGCCCCTCCTTGTGACTTTTGTGGCCCGAAATCGCAGTGCTTGTACTTACCTCGCTTCCCACCTCCGGCAGCTGGGCTGCTCCCCGGACCTGAAGCAGCGACTCCGATATGCTCTGCGGCTGCTCAGGGACCGTAGTCCAGCCTAGGCCCCACCATGCAGAGCAGGCCATGACCCAAGCCCTCAAACCTGAGGCCTGTGCCTGTAAGGCTCTGGCCCTTGCCTTTGTGGCCCTCTCTGTTCCATTGGTGCCTCACTGGGGGCTCTGGGCTGAATCCCCCAGGGAATCAGGGACCAGCTTTACTAGAGTTGGGGTGGCTTGTCCTACTATTTCTTATCCCCTCTCTGAGATAAGCCTGAGCCTTAGCCCCAAATTAGGGGCATTATTTATGGACCACTTTTATTTATTGACATTTATTTATTGGGATGTGAACCCCAGGGGGCCCTCCTTCTGGGATAATAAACCTTTTGCAGAACTCGGCCTGCTTATTCGTAGTAGAGCCCGTGGACGGTGGCCACCGCAAAAAGTGAAGCATTGGTGAAAGTAGCAGAAGCCAGTCCATCGCGTGCTACATCCCAAAGTGCGCGACTGACCACATGCACGCCCTGGCCGGTGCGAGGCCCCAGCACCACGCTGCACACAAGCTTATAGCGCGGTGGGCTGAACTCACGCAGGTGCACATGCATCTGTTCACACAGCTCTCGAGTGAGCCTCCCAGCCTCCGAACCAGAGTAGGAAGCATCCCGCAACCTGGCATCCAAGGCTGCCTCCAGAGCACGCTGAGCACGGGCAGCTTCCCAGCATTCTCCAGGCGCAGGCTCCATGCGGTAGGAAGGTGCTACCTGCCGGATTGGCGCCAGGGGCAACCCTGAGAAGCTGACCCGAGAACCTAGAGGGGGCGCTGGGACCAGGGATTGTCGCCGACCTCCAGGACCAGTGACTGGCCCAGCCAGTGAGTTGCGGCGTGAGAAGGATGTGGCTGGACCCAGCACAGAGCCACGGCGGGAGGCTGGGCCCACAGCTGCAGGTCCAGCCTCATCAATGCTGGGCAGGCGACCACGGGGCCGTACTGGTGGTAGTTTAGGCCCCAAATCTTTGGTAGTCTCTTCCTGGTGTGTCTCCTGGCGTCCTGGGGGCAGAGGCCTGCCAGCCATGGGCCTGCTGGTTGAAAGACACACATTTAGGATGGGCTTCAGTGGCCATCTTTCTGCGTCCCCTGTTGCTGAGTGATGTGAAGGGTTTTTATACCCCTACTCTCTTCTTATTTACCACCCGCCACCACACACACACCGGCTGGCTTTTCCCTTTTTTTTTTTTTTTTTTTTGAAGTGGTGTCACACATACTATGTAGCTCAGGCTGATCCTGAACCTCTGGGCTCAAATGATTCTCCCACTTCAGCCTCCCAAGTAGCTGGGTCTAGGTGGCACTGCACTGTGTCTAACTTCCCCTTACCCACTTCTTACCTGTGTTTTTGGAACAAGTGGATCAAACAGTCAAGCTGGGTGGGTTTCTAGGTGCTTAGAGCTGTTAGGGACATAAAGAGGGGAAAAGACGATACTCAGTCTATAATTCTGAGCTAGTCTTTGCCATCCTGGTTTCCAGTTTGCCTTGGGCACTATGTAGGTTGGCTAAGTGAGATCTATTGTACTTACTTTTCTCCCTTCCACCTGACTTCACTAGCATAAGGGAGAGATGAAGCTGGCTTCTGACTCAGCCTGGAGAGTAGAAGTGGTGCCTGCAACCCTTAACCAGAAAGGATGGACAAAACCAACTCCTTCATTTCCACAGATCCCACTAGCCCTGGGGATATTGAATCCAGTCACCTTCTACCATTCCTGCTCTGATAGGGCACAGAAAACTCACTCAGCCACTACAACAGGCTGAGGCTGGGGGCATGTGACCCCTGAAACTCTTTCTTCCTTCTGCTTTTGTCCTGTGACTGCACCTCCTACAGAACCACTTCTGGGATGGTTGCCCTCCTCTCCTGAAACTCCCTCAGGCACCTGACTCACCTGCAACCTTGGTCTCCAAGCTCTCTCGGCTCCACAGCCCTGGCCCAGCTAGCCTGACTTGCAGGTGGGAGGAGGAAGGGCCATGTTTTGCAGTTGCCATGGGCTGCTAGGGCAAGCACTCCTTCCTCCCAGAGTCCCTCCCTTCCTCCAACTTGGCTCTGGAATAACCTAAGAGTGTTACTACTATGAGCACCTGCTGAGGATGGGGTACCCCTGAGTTATTGGGGAGAAAGGCCTATAAGGTTTGAGCTCAGGGACATACTACCACCACCAGACAACCGATAGTTAGGGGCTCTGCTTAGAAAGCCCCAGGACTCTTGAGCCATTCTTCCTTTCTTCATTTCTTTCCTTTGTGAAATGGCCAGATGACTGGCCATTTATGAACAAATGACAGGGCCTAGGGTATGTGTGGGAGGATATTGAGGCTGCAGGGGTGGCTGCTCAGGAATCCAGGATCCAGGCAGACAGGAAGGAGCACGTCATTGCTCTATCGTCTCGGCATCAGTCTCAACCAGGACAAACATTTCCGCTCCAGGCGCTGAGCTGGGGTGGGGCTTGGATGACTTCCTCAGTTCTGGGCTTTGTGCGGGGGTGGGGAGGCCCATTGGCTCAGATGGGAGGACCAAGTCCTGAAAGCTATGACTCAGTGGTAAACCTGAGTCCAGTCTCTTGACCCTTACTGACCCAAGTGCCCTGGGGCTTGTCCCCAGTTGGCCACACCTCTGTGTGCCCCAGTACCTAGATTACCCAGCTGCATTTCAAGGATGCCAGAGGCTGCCATGCTTCTGTCAGAGCAGACAATTCACTTTACCCTGGAAGGGATGGGACTACCCCTCTCCAGCAAACTATGTCTGGGCCTAGAAAATCATCCATGGAATGAGGATTTTCCCTGTGGAGGTGAGGTTTCCCAGGCCTGCCTAACCTGAGTTTAACCTATGACTGGGGGAGAGCAGGAGCTTGAATTCTGAAATTGTGGCAGGTCAGGACCAGAGATAAGGCTCTCAAGACTGTGTTTAGGGCCCTTCCACAGGCTAAAGTTTTCCACCAGGCCTGTGGAGAGATGGGCGGGGCCTCCTTTTAGGCTGGACTCCAGTTTCCATGGAAACCCACAGGCTTCCCACCCCAACGCTGCCGCCTGGGCAAGCTCCCAGCCCAGGCCTCATCCCACACCAACTTCTCCCCTGGACTACTGGCGCTCAGGCCTCAGCCTCTCCAGGTCCCCTACCTCTACCCCAACCATATCTATCCCTATTCCTGAGCCTCTCTTCATCCCTAAACTGTAGTTTCTCAGTAAACAGGCTTCCTGAGCTCCTGCCTCTCTCAGGCCTTTCTAATCTCCTCACCAGCTCTAAGGCCTGGCCAGGCCTCCCACAGACCAACAAACAGCAGCAGACCTCTTAAACCACTCCGCTTTCTTTTTCTCCCTGCCCCACTCCATGCATGGAGAATCCAGGACTAGTTGTGCATGGGCAGACTGCTTCCTTTTCCACAGCACTTCGAAGTCTTGTCAACAACCCCCAATACAGGTGAGGAAGTGGGCCCGGTGGGTAAGTTTTCCCTAGCTGACTTTGCTTAGCCCCATGACTCTGGGGAGGCCCTGGGTGAAGAGGTGAAAAGGACTTTGCCTTCCTCCCTGGCAAACTCAATCGGTGGGGAAGCCAACTGTAGATGATGGCTACCAGCTTCTCAGTGTCCATGATATCTTGAGAGCCAGGGTGGGGGGCTGTGGGGGATAGAGCCCTGGGCTGCTGTGTGAGCTCAAGCAAAATCCTTCTGTGAATCTTGAGCTCCTCTCAGAGGGGAAAAGAGCCTGAAAAATGCAATGTAACTTGACTCCCTCCCATTGAGCACTTAGATGTTGGGGCCTCTCTCCTTGAAGAGGCAGGAGCCTGTTCTGAGAATTGGGAATTCAAAAGAGGAAGAAAGCTCAAGGGATTGAGCCAGAGTTCCAGACAGGAAGTAGTTCAAGGGTGCTGACCACTGTTTGCCCAAAATGCTAATGGTGTTTGAAAATAGGGATAGAGTTTACTTGGGGCAGGGTTGGTCAGGAGAGCTAAAATGTAGCTCTCTCCTGGCCCCAGTATCTCAAATCTGGATTCTTCCCCAGGGTTGGTAGTTCCCATAACCCTGCTTCTCTGGGGGTTGCAGTCTGGTCTGAGTAGTAGGAACCTTGGACTATGAGACTAGAAGGCTCTAAGAAACTCACATATTTTCTCTTGTCTTCTACCATCTACCTTGTTCAGGGGCCCAGAAACTAGGGCCGGAAGTGATCATGAAGATGGAAAATGTGGTCTGGCCTCATTATGGTGCATGACTGCCATGTCTGTTTACAGTTAATGCACATTCTGCACCCTACACCCCCACTCCCTCCTCCCTGGAGGAGGGCTGAAAAACAGCTGAGTTTGCAGCCAGTGGAGGAGGTACCAAGAAGAGCTTTCCCTCCTCAAAGACTCAGACTGGGGAGGGGCTGGGGAGTTGGGATCAATCTTACTTTTATTAACCCTGTTGCCCCCTCGCAATCAAGCACAGTCCTCTGAGGTCAGGGGTGAGAAACTTAAGATTCAAAGATAGGAAATTGCCAGGCACAGTGGCATATGCACATAATATCAGCGGCTCAGGAGGCTGAGACAAGTTCAAAGCTAGCCTCAGCAACTTAGTGAGACCCTTCTCCAAAAATAATAGCAACAATAACAAGAATGGGCTGGGGATATGACCCAGTGTGTGGGGGAAGAAGTCACTTGCCTGCAATACCATGGATGGAACTGGGACTGGAACTCACGTCTGTGTATACCAGACCTTTTCCTGGAAGGCTAAACCCTGTCTTACGTTACAGATAAGGAAACGAAGGTTCAGAGTGGGCAAAAGTGAAGCCCAAATTGTACTCTAGGCTCTGGACTCCTTTCATCTGGCTCTCTGCCCCTCTCTTCCACAGTGATGTTTGCTTTGTGGTCGGTCAAGAACGGCAGGAGGTATTTGCCCACCGGTGCCTGTTGGCCTGTAGATGCAACTTCTTCCAGCGACTGCTGGGCACAGAACTGGGCCCCGGGATGCCTAGTCCTGTGGTGCTAAGCACTGTGCCAGCTGAGGCCTTCTTGGCAGTGCTGGAATTCCTGTATACCAACAGTGTCAAGCTGCACCGCCACTCTGTGAGCCCACTGACCAGGGGCCTGGGTGGGAGTGGCTGGGGGTACAAAAGGCAGGAGTCTGCCCATCACACTGTGGGCCAAAAGTCAGGGGAAACTCTCTTCTGGTCCCCCAACCACCCACTTTGTAGGTGCTGGAGGTGTTGACGGCAGCTGTGGAGTATGGGCTAGAAGAACTGCGAGAGGTAGGTTTTTGTGCCAGGTCCTGGTTGGTTTCCCTTGCCTCTCATGGATCCAATTCATACCCTACTTTACATACTCTGACCTGGAGGGCAATGTGTATACACATAGAAGTACAGGTATCTCTGTATACACAGGGCATGCATGTGAGTCTGTATGTACAGAATCCTCACATGCCCCGAGTAGGCTAACTGAACATCAGGTGTTGATGAGTGAAGGATAAATCAGCCTTGATCCCTATCTCTGAAGGAAACACTTAACCCTGTGGCACGAGTGTGATATATAGGGTAAATAGCACTGAGGCTATGTGGGGAAAGAATTCCTGGAGGAGGAAACATTTGTGATTTGGCAGAATGAGCAGTTTTTTCACAGGGAGAGTGGGAAGATGTCATCCCAGTTACAGAGGTACTAAAGGAGGTAGTGAGACATTTGGTGTGGTTGGATAGGATGTGAGAACAGAAGCGGGCAAGATATGACTGGAGAGAGTGCCAGGAGCTGGTTCATTCAGGGTCTTCAAGAATTTAGACTTCTGGGCTGGGGATGTGGCTCAAGCGGTAGCGCACTCGCCTACATAGGCGTGCGGCCCGGGTTCGATCCTCAGCACCACATACAAACAAAGATGTTGTGTCCACCAAGAACTAAAAATAAATAAAAAAATAATTAAAAAAAAAAAGAATTTAGATTTCTGTTTGGGTGTGGTGGCTCATACCTATATTCCAGTGACTCAGGAGGCTGAGACAGGATTGCAAGTTCAAAGCCAGCCTCTGCAACTTAGTGAGGTTCAAAGCAACTTAGTTAGACCTTGTCTCAAAATAAAATATAAAAAGGGCTGGGGACGTGGTTCCATGGTTAAGTGCCCCTGGGTTCAATTCCTGGTTCCAAAGAAAGTAAAGAATTTAGACTTCTGGATTGGGCATGCTGGTACACATTTATGATCCCAGTGACTCAGGAGGCTAAAGTAGGAGGGTTGCAAGTCAAAGCTAAATTAGTGAATCCTGTCTCAAAATAAAAAAAAGAGTTGGGGATGCAGCTCAGAGATAGAGCACCCCTGTGTTTAATCCTCAGTACTGCAAGAAAAAAAAGGGCATAGGGAGGGGAATTTAGATTATGGATTGGGAGTATTGGTCAGTGGTATAGTGCTTGCTTAGCCTGGTGAGGCCCTGTGTTCAATCCCTGACCCACTTATGCAAACACACACACACACAACAAAAGAAAAAAGAATTGTGATTTTTTTCAACATGAGTACAGTGGAGATTTACTGAAGGTTTCAGGTAAGGGAATGGGATTTGGAAGCTAAGGGGAGAAGGGAGTGGAAGAAATAGAAAGGGCTCATCAAACCAGTCAGGACTCTAGTGCATCAGTCAAGTCAAGTGGATGTGGCTAGGATGGGGGCGGCAGAAACCCAAAAGAGAAGTGGGTAGTTTTCAGAGATGAAGTGGAACTGGCATGACCCAGTGCTTTTCTGGGGGATAATGAGAGATGTTAAGGATGAAATTCAAGTTTCTGATAAAAATAGAAATGTTCTCAAGTCAGGAAAGGAACAAATGGAAGAAAATAGCATCCTGAGAAGAGAGTGGAATTTTTGCATGGGTCTTATCTGATCTGATTAGTGGCAAGTGTACTGGAAGGTGGTTTTCTGGGCTTGGCTTTGCTAATCTTCAGTTTCTTTGGGCTTGCCAAATCTCAGGCCCTAGCAATAACTGGCTTCCCCAGGCCTGGATGGGTCTGGGGCTAATCGGAGTCCGGATGGCTAACCCTCAAGCCTGCTCACTACTTTATTAGATCTGGGCCTTGGAGTAGAGACATGTCCACACAACTCAGATTTATTTCTGTTTCCAGCTGTGTCTGGAGTTTGTGGTGAAGGTGCTGGACGTGGAATTGGTTTGTGAGGCTCTGCAGGTGGGTGTTACTGGATGGACCTAGGAGAAGTCTGGCTTTCAGTATGTGGTACTGGGCTCCTAGGAACCAGGAGTCTAGACCTCCTGTGTCTGTCCTGGAATAATCTAGATACATAGAAGGGGGTAGGAATGTCCCAAGGATGTTTATGGGATAAATTATGTGCCTAGATAAGTGGGATCCAGGGTTCACTAGCAGAGTCAGGTGTAGGAGCAAGAGTTGAAGAACAGAAGATCTTTGCTGGTCTTCTATAAAAGCTGGGAAATGGTTCTCAGCCGAGGAAGGTGAAGGGTGGGGTTTGGAGAAGGGAAGCCAAGCCTAGGTCCCAGGATGGGATTTGAAGGAGGTGTCCTGCCTTCTTTAGTGTGCACTGTGTGTGGATATGCAAACAGGGACTTTCACTGGTTCTAGTTTCCAGAGGCCTTGTCATCCTCCCCAACTGGAAGTAGGGTCAGGTTCGCAGTGATGGTTCCCAGCGGGGAGGGCAGGGCTACATGGTTTCTCCAATCTCTAACCTAACTTCCTCATTCTGTTCCCAGGTGGCTGTAACCTTTGGCCTGGGGCCGCTGCAGGAGCGGTGCATAGCTTTCATAGAAGCCCACAGCCAGGTACTACTCCCCACCTTCATATTTCTAACCCCACACACCCCATTCTGCTTTCCCCTGATCAGTTCCCCCGCCCGCAGGAGGCGCTCCGGACCCGTGGCTTCCTGGAGCTGTCGGCCGCTGCGCTGCTTCCCCTGCTGCGCAGCGACAAGCTCTGCGTGGACGAGGTCGAGCTGGTCCGGGCAGCCTGGAGCTGGGCGCGCGTAGGCGCGGTGAGAGGGAGTGGGAACCCAGGGCGCTGAAGGAGGCACCGGCAGCAGGAACCCAGCGAGCTGGAGGTGGGGCGGGTGCTCCCGCCATGCCCAGTCTCAAAGCTGGCTTTCGCAGGCGGTGCTGGAGCGGCCTGTGGCTGAGGTGGCGGCCCCGGTGGTGCCAGAGCTGAGGCTGGCCTTGCTGGCCCCGGCGGAGCTGAGCGCCCTGGAAGAGCAGAACCGGCGGGAGCCGTTCATCCCGGTGAGGACGCGGGGAGCCAGGCTCAGATCAACTCCGCAACGTGGGGACCCGGAGCTAGGGGTGCGGTTCTGCCCAGTGTCTCCCTGGCGAAGAGGCACTGCAGGGCTGCGCGGTGACCCGCCTTCCCCTGTAGGTGGAGCAGATCGTGGAGGCGTGGAAATGTCATGCCCTGAGGAGAGGGGATGTGGCCCGGGGAGCATTGTGCCGCCGACGGAGGGGGACCCTGCCCCGGGAGCACCACCGCTTTCTGGACCTGCCCTTCAAGTAACTCAAGGCCGTGACTAGAGAGGAATTCCTGTCCTACTCAAAACTGCAGTTCCCAACGTGCTCTGCGGTTGGAGCGGGCTTCCGCTCCCAGCATGCCGCGCCTTCCGGGAGCCGGAAGGCTTGTTCTCGGGTGCCGCGCCTTGTGCGAGACGACCGGCCTAGGGCGGGGCTGTGAGAAGAGTGCTGGTCCAGTGCCTTCTCACGATGGCGAAATCTAAAAGCGAGGGTTTCTTTCACTCCACGGCGGGGCACTCTCGTGCGCAGGTGTACTCTGATTGCGCCCACGTGTCTATTCGGTCCAGCCTCCTCTTTAATAATAGCTCTTCCTCCTGGAGATCGTTCCTTGAGTGCCCCACAGACACCTCAGTGCACAATCGAGCTCCCCGTCTTTCCCCCCAGCACTGTCCCGGTTCTGTTTCTCATTTCCGTGACCGCCCACGCCGGAAACTTGGACGTCATCATTGCCCCATCCCTCTCCCTCGCACTTGCCTCAGGTCTTTCTACTTAAAAGATCTTTCCAGATGTTTCAGTCTTTAGCCTATCCTGCCTATCACGTCTTATAACCCTTCTTGTCTTCACCCCTCAATCGATTTCCCACATGCAGTCAGCCCTATCAGATTGTCAAGTCGATTTCCCTTAAGTCCCTCAACATCCCTAATACACTCGCTGGACATTCAAAACTATTGTGGTTTCTGAGCATTTAGCAACTCTTCTTTCATCCCTGCTTTTGCAAAAATTCTCCCCTGGGAGGTACTCAGGATTTGCTCCCTTGTTGTTGAGGTTTCCACTTTTCACCTCATTCATCTTACATCTTGTCTTCCTGTGGACCTGAATCTCCCTGAAGAAAGATCCCTGAGGCCTGGAGTAGTGCCTTATTTGTTTTTTTCATCAGTCTCAGTCACATAATCAGTGTTCGGTAAATGCTAAGTGAATGACTTCATTTCCCTATTTATTCCATAAAGAGTTCTCATAACTTCCAGCACTGGGGACTAAACCCTGGAGCACTCTACTACTGAGCTACATTCTTAGCTTTTTTTTTTTTTTTTTTTGAGACAAGGTCTTGCTAATTTGCCTGGCTGGTCAGGAACTCCCCAACAGTCCTTCTAATTTTAGAGACTGCTCAGCAGCTGGGACAACAGATGTAGGCCTTCACACTAGGCAAAAAGTTTTAAAGAAGTTGTAAAACAAGATATCATCATCAATCTATGGGGCTGGGGATGTGGCTCAAGTCGTAACGTGCTCGCCTGACCTGCGCGGGGCACTGGGTTCGATCCTCAGCACTACATAAAAATAAAATAAAGATGTTGTGTCCACTGAAAACTGAAAAATAAATATTAAAAAATTCTCTCTCTCTCTCAAAAAAAAGATCATCAATCTAAAATGAGGGCAATTGACTATTTAGAAGAAAATAATATCTGTCTCAGGGACTTTATACAAAAATATATTGCATGCCAATAAAAATAGTTATTTGTCACTCTCTCAAGATTTAAAAGGTTCGGGTTGTAGTGCACAAGCATGTAATCTCTGCAGCTGGGGAGGCTGAAGCAGGAGGATTGCAAGTTGAGGGCAACCTCAGCAACTTAGCCAGATCCTGTCAAAATGAAAAAAGACTAGGGATGTACATCAGTGGTAAAACACCCCAGGGTTCAATTCCTAGTACAAAAAAAAAAAAAAAAAACCCTCAAAAATGTGTTCACCCAGTAGTACCGCTTCAAGCAACATAGTTTAAAAAGTGGGGGGAAAAAACCCCAACACTTTATTTTGTGATACTGGGGATTGAACCCTAACACATGCTAGGCAAGTGCTCTACCCCTGAGCTACATCACCAGCCCTTTTTGTTTTTTGAATTTTGAGACAGGGTCTCCCTAATTTCCCAGGTTAGCCTCAAACTTGTGATCAACCCTCCTGCTTCAGCCTTTTGAGCAACTAGACATGCACCACTGCACCTGGATGGAGAGTGAAAATTGAAAATTATATGTCCATTAATAGATGTCTGGTTAAATTAACTATGGTATAGTCCTACAACGATACAAAAGATTTGCATGATCTTTACTGAAAAAAAAAAAAAAAAGCATAGTGTAGACCAAGTAGAGTATTATGCCTTTTGTGATAGCTTGATGTGGTGGTACATGTCTGTAATCCCAGCAATTTAGGAGGCTGAGGCTGGAGGATTTTGAGTTTGAGGGCAGTCTCAGCAACTTAGTATGGCCCTAAGCAATCTGGCCAAATACTTTGAGAGCCTGGGAAGATGTGGCTCAGTAGTTAAGCATCCTTGGGTTCAATCCCTGGTATAAAAAGAAAAAAAGAAAAGAGAAGTGTGGTGCTAGGCACGATGGCATATGTCTGTAATCCTAGCTGCTCAGAAGACTGAAGGAGAATTGTGTCCAGTCTGGACAACTTAGTAAGAGACAATCTGTCCATACCATGTAGCTCCATGGTGGTGCTTCCCCAACCCCTGTTAGATCCTATATCCAGCAAAATAAAATATAAATAAATAAATAAATCTATTTATTTGTTTTACATGTACTCACTAAGTGCACATGTTGGAGGTATTGATTTACCATATAGAGTGCATCAGAGAAAATCAAGTCTCTGCCTCATAGAGCTTCCATTCTAGGGGGAGAAACAAGGACATTTGCTACAATTTCAGGGAATATTGTTATCTCTAATTATCTCTTTAAGCAGGTTAAAGAGATAGTGGTAGCTGAGCATACAGCTCAGTGGTAGAGTGCCTGCCATGTACAAGGCCCTGAGGTTCATCCACAGCACAGCAAGAAGAAAAGACAGTGATGGTGGTTGGAATGGGATTGTTTCATACAGAGTAGTGAGTGTAGATTTTGAAGCCTGCATAAACTCTCCACCTTTATTTGCTTTTAGTCATTTGATTATATCATCAATTTTAAGAGTTCATGAAGCTAAGCACTATTCCTATTAGCTTTGCTATGGGACATACTGGTTATGATGGTAATGGTTGCCTAAGTTGTTTTTCAGGAACTTGGCAGTAGCTTAAATTGGTTGAAATTCACTGACCCTTCACTTGGGCTTATACAAGTGTCTGACTTTTTGATGTCAGAGGGTCCAACACTTCACCCTCAGAGATGAGAATATTGCCATTCCCTGAACATACATTCTAGGAAGAACCATGAAGCTTGATTACACTTGCAGAGGCCACTAAGTCCTTCATTCTTCCTCAACTCCAATCAGCTTTTCCCATGTCTGAGAGCCTTTTGTTTCTGTATCCCCATAAATATCCCTAAATCCTGTTCAAGGGGAGGTAGATTTGAGAATTGGGGTTTCCACCTTCTCACAGTTGGCCACCTCATGAGTAAACTTTCTTCTTTGCCAAACTTGTCATGTACCACAAGATGAACAAAATGGGCCTGGTTCAATAAGGACTTCTGCTGAGATGAGGGTAGACTGGAGATCTGAAGTAAGCCCTGGGGAAAGGCATTGAGTTGTCTGTGCAGGAGGGATTATGTGATCAGATTTACCTTTATTTATTTATTTGGTGCCAGGGATTGAACTCAGGAGCACTTTACCACTGAGCTCCATCCCCAGCCATTTTTATTTGTCATTTGGAGACAGGGTCTCACCAAATTGCTCAAAGCCTTGCTAAATTGCTGAGGCTGGCTTTGAACTCTCAATCCTCTTGCCTCAGCCTCTCGAGTTATGGAGTTATGATTACTGGCGTGTGTCACCATGCCTGCCTAGATTTACCTTTTTGAGGTTGATTTTACTTATTTACTTATTTATTCATTTTTAATTTTTTTAATATTTATTTTTTAGTTTTAGGTGGACACAATATTTTGTTTTTATGTGGTGCTAAGACTCCCCAGTACCTCACACATGCTAGGCAAATGTGCTACCACTTGAGCCACATCCCCACTTATTTATTTTTTGAAATGGTGTCTCACTGTGTTGTACATGCTGGTCCTGAGCTTCTGGGTGCCAGTAATCCTCTTGCCTCACCCTCATCAGTAGGTGGGACTACAGTAGTGGGCCACAATACTTGGCTTGGATTTCATTTTCTTTCTTTCTTTTTTTTTGATACTGGGGATTGAACCCAGGGCCATGTGTGTGTGTGTGTGTGTGTGTGTGTGTGTATACATACAGAGAGAGAGTGTGTGTGTATATATATAT